TACCCGAAGAAGGGTTGCTGACCTACTGAAATGCTTCGACGTCCCATCCACAACCTTAGATACAGACTGATACTTCACTGCTTCATCGAAGTCTTAAAACAGCTGGAGGTACATTTCAAGAATTGTCCATTTAGATGAGTCGGCAAATATGCTTGTGCCAACCAAGTGAATGAGACATGCATGCTTGTATTACACCAATTGCAACTTGTTATGCCTTTTAAATAATTGCTCAAATCTCTTCTCAACCATGTATGCTGAATTTGCATCAATTTTCCCTCTTTGGGGCAATCACCCATATACCCTTTAATGAAATCCCCATATAATTCAGGCCCGATACCTATTGCAGGCTTGTCTATCACGAGTATATGCAATATCCGCTATACGTCATATAAAACTGGATCCGTCTCCCCAATGTTTAGACATGCGGTATGTGTTTGTGTACACCACATCTTTATGAAGGCCATGAACAACTTGAGAGCGATAGGGATGAGAATTTTTTGGATCAGGTCCGAATCCACCCAGATCCAGATCTGGATCTATTTAGCATACATCGGATCCAGATCTGATTGGATCTTGAATATACAGATCCGGATCCGAATCCGAAACCGAAATTATATATAGGATCTAGATTTGGATTTACGTCCATTCTCTTTTCAACATTACTTGTTTCTTTTCATATGACAATCTACATATAGATTCCATTGCCATCAATGTTTTTTTATCTCCATAGCTGATATTCTTCGTAGGAATTTAATCAATCATAAAAGCTATTCCTCCTTATCTATACATTTGATTAGTTTCTCTCATGATCATTTTCCCCAATTCTTTAATAAAAAAATTTCAATTATAAATACCTATACCTAATTACTCCCCTTTAGCATTCACTATAGCAGAGAACAAAGTCTCCGCAGAAAACAATATCAGAAATGCAAGTTCCAAAAACACATAACTAAACGGTAGCAAAGAATTGAAGGGAAAGGAACAAATAAGCATCAATAGCATAAGCTTCATGCGAGGGAAACTCAACATTATAAGGATTTACAATGAGAAATGTTTCTATAAAACTATGGAATACAGAACTCCAAATTCACATCAACGAATTTGACTTCACGAGTCAGTAACAAAAAACTCTAGCTATCAATCCCATAGTTGCAGAAAACCAAAAAAAAATGTAGGGAAAGGGAAAACATACATTGAAATGATTAGAAACGAAATGACTACCACAAGCTACCACCATCAAAGCTCAAACCACGCTCCATTTCCTCACAATAAGACAAAGGACTTGGCATTATAAAGCTCAAAAACAAGCTTTTCTTCCTCTTTGTTTTCCAATACACAGTGCTCCAGTGAGCTTCTCTTTTTCAGAAGAAAAATCTCTTTACTCTATTTTTGCTTTGACCATCTCTTCTATCTCTCCAACTCATGCACCTCCTCTCTATAACTCTCTCTCTCACTCTATCTCTATTTCTCTCTCTAACTTTAGTTTATAGAGGCATGGAATCAAATGGGAATTATTAATCTGGATCACGATCTCTAGTAATGGAGTCAAAGAATTAGGTGCCGGGTTTGAGGGAATAAAGGAAATGGCTCCATGGGTTGGGTTATAGAACTCCACCATTTTTTTGTGTATATTTTATAGTTGTAAAGGCATTGAAGAAGCCCAACAAGCCTTAGAGAGAAACACAAATTGACATCTATAGAAGCCTGTAGATCGGTAGAAGAGAAAGAAAATAAAGAGAGATTTCTACAAGTTATAGAGGCAAAATCAAATTTTAGTGAGAGAGTGTTTTATAAATTGTTAGAGAGAGTAACAGAGGATTGAGAATTGGGTTAGAAATGACGCAGGGCAATGGCGATGGGTTTACATAGAAACCCTAATCTCGAGTTTAGAGAAAGCGATGCGAGGTCTA